CTGCTGCTGCTGCTGCTGTTGCTGTTGCAACATCTGCTGCTGCTGTTGCAATTCTTGCTGCTGCTGTCGCAGTCCCTGTCCCTGCTGTTGCTGCAACGGTTCTTCACGTTGTAATATTTGTAACTGTAGTTGCATTTGCTGCGGCTGTTGCTGCACTTGTGGTGGCTGTTGTTGCACTTGTGGTGGCTGTTGTTGCATTTGTGGTAGTTGTTGCAAGTGCTGCAACTGTTGTTGTTGCAGTTGATGTTGTGAATATGACGGCGGCGGCGGCTTGGGATTTTGATAAGCAATTTGTAAGAATGGCCTAACAGCTGCGGTACCAGGACTCTGTTGCTGTTTGGTAGGTTGAACTAATTTCTTTGATGATTGGCTGACATGAGGAGGTAAGTTTCGGTGATAGCCTGTCTTTTGTGGGTCATGCTGCGCTGTAGCATTGATATTGTTCAATGATGGACGCGTCACTTCACTAGGTCGCGTCTTATTCGGTTTTAATACGTTTGCACTCGTTACAGACTTTTTTATAAGTGGCTTCACACCAGCTACTTGAAATTTTCGAGAGTTGTGACTTAAAATGGCGGTATCAACCACTTGGGGAAAATCCTTCGGACGTGTGTTGAGAGGTATAGTCACGGTACTGATCGACGTTACAGAAGGAAGGGAACAATGGGTTGATGTAGGCAAGAGTGCAAAGGGATCGAACGTCGGTTTCGCCGGCCAGATCTTATCAGCTAAAGATGTTTGATTATCTTTGCCCTGACGAGTATTTTGTACCGACATGGAACACTGATTACTATGTTCCCTTATCTGCTGGGAGTCGAACAACAAACCGCACGTACTACATAAGTATTTCTCCATTGGATTGCCTATGAGTTCCGCTAAGTTCTTCACACGCAAGAAGGACTTAGGCACGGAGCTCATGGCGTCCTTCGGTAACGATTCCGTGATCTGTTTTCTCGAATTCGCGTTTGACAACGCCGAATCATCAACATTACTCTTGACAGTCTTGTTTGCGTGATCGGTTCGCGTCTCCGTTGAGTTGACACTTGTGCCGCGGACAGATACCTGTTTATCCTTCAAATTACTCGCATTTGTGTTCAGCTGCGTATTCACAGACTCTCTCGGAGTTATCATGCTAATTTCAGCATTTGAATTCGTACTTGTATTCATGCCATTCGAGATTTTCGCGGATGTAGTGGCTTGAGCCGTGTCATTAGAACATTGCATTTGCTCACCAGTAACAGCCGAATTAGATATCGTTGATTTCGTGTTTTCTTGCGCATTCTGATGCTTCGCGGAAGGCGTACTGTCAGCATTTCTCCTAATCTCTTTGGAAACCGAACTCTCTTCACTTTCCGACAACACTATTGTTAGTTCCTCTTCCTCACCCGAATCATCATCAAGATTCCTTAAGTTTTCATTGCTGTTTCGATTTAACAGCACAACTGCAACATTGGGCGAGGGAACTTGCACCGGAACCAGCGAGACATTCTTGGTTGCTTGTAATTCTGTATTAGAGCATACTGACGATTCTGGCGCGACCAATATCATCGGTTCTTGCATGGATTGACTCTCTGATGAGTGAGTCGGTTCTTGTGGTTCGCTTGGTTTATCCTTTACAGTCTTCTCAGCGAAATAACTTAAATCCATGCAAGGTAAATCGTCAACGGTAGCTTCTTTTGGCTGATTCGTCTCGGAGCTAAGATTGCTGATATCGCGATAGATTACCTCGCATGTGATCGGCGCTTGTTGCATCTCGCTGTTATTCTTGTGTATAATCATATGCTTCTGAAACAGATCGATACTGTTGTAATGATTATGGCAGCGAGAGCATATATAGTCCTCTCGCAGCTCTTTATGAGTCTGCCAATGCTCCTCGAAGGCTTGCAAAGACTGCAACATAGTTGTGCACACTTTGCAAATATATACTTTTGTTAAAGCGGTAACAGACGCGCAAGTATAGTGTAAATGCATATCCCGTTTCTGCGTGTGTTCCAATGAGTGCACCTCAAAAGACATTCTGCTATAGAATGTCTTGTTACAGAATCCGCATATCAGCAGAATTGATGTTCTGGCGGAAGATATTGAGAATCTATTACGAGGATCGGCAGATGTGTTAGTGACGTTTGGACAGACCGCCTTGTGCAATAGCAGATGCTGTGATAAGACGAAGGGCGTTTCACAATCCTGGCACACATGTTCGGCTACCTGCATATAAGCCTCTACCGCCTTGTCATTATCGTCCTTTGTTACCGATATAAGTTTCATGCCAATGTAGGAAGGCCTTGGGAACGAAAGACTGCTAGCCAGGAAGAACGAGTTCTTCATGTGATTCTGGAAATGGCTCTTGAACAAGTGTCCGAAACAATAGAAGATTACTTTGCATACGTTGCAGCAAAAAGACACCGTGCCCATGCAGTTAAGTTGCCGAGAATGCATCGCTAGGTGATACATCAACTCCTGGAGAGAGTTGAATACCTGCTGACAGTTGACACACATCAACTTGGATTTTCTATGCCGTCGATTTTTATTACAGAGCGTGCCTTTTGCAGAATCCTGCATGCTGTGCGTCTCGAAGCATTCCAAGCGTCGAAACAGTGTTTTACAAGTGGTGCACAGCAAAACTATCTCGATCTGAATCTTCTTTGCCGATATGTCGTCTGCCTTGGGCCTGTGGCACTCGCAGATAGTGAGGGACTTCGTCGATTGATCCGAAGCCGGTTTGGTGATGCACGTTCTTCTTTTCTCCGCATTTTGCATCGCCTTCTTCTTGACGTTCCTCGCTACAGGCGTCGACTGTTTTTGTGAATCACGTTCTACAGTGTACTCCGCCACCGACAAATTCGAAGCTTCGTTTCTTTCCTCAGTAGCACCGTGCTGCGATACTTCTGAAGTAACAAGGTTCTGTGAATTTATTTCGTTCACATTTTCTGACAGTCTCTTCTTTTGCTCAGTGACATAGTTTTTGGCTACTTTAGTTTTTTTCGCAGCTGCTCCCACCACATTTTCACTGGAGACCAGCTCATTAGTCTCGATAACTACTTGACGACTAGAAGCAATCTCATTTTCAAGCGACGTGTTCATACTGCGGATATCTTCGCTTACATGCTCGAACATATGCTTAAATAGTTGTCGACTAGTATCAAAGACCCGGTAACAAACTGTACACGTTGCCTGTTTTAACTTAACCACGTTTCTCACTTTATTTGTTTTAGTATTTTTGGATTGTAGAATTTTCGCTCTATTTAACGATTTCATTTTCATCTCGAACTTTGACTTCATGGTTGATTTAACTTTACTTTTCTTGCGTGACTTCTTCAAAGGCAAGATGGGAATTTCTTTGCTGCCCCCCTCGCTAACAGAAGAACATTGCTTTTGCGACGTCGACGGTTTTGCGTTTTTCAAATGTTTGTTGTACTTATTCATGACAGTATTGCCTAACAACGCTCCATTTAATGATTTCATATTCATCTCGGACTTTGACTTCATGGTTGATTTAACTTTACTTTTCTTGCGTGACTTCTTCAAACGCGCTTTTACGGATCTCGACACAATCCTAGATGTAGGACTCGCAACAACTGTACATGTATTATGCGAATTGGTAACCATGTGTTTCAACAACAGTTCTTGATCCTTGAATGCCGCGCCGCACGCGGTGCATTTGTATGCCTGTTCCTCTTTGCTTGGTGACTGTTCAACGCCGCGCACTTCTAGGATCTTCGTCTTTATAGGTATATTACTAGTTGATAATTCAAGATTGTTCATTTTCTCACGTAATTTCGCTGACATTTCTGATATTTTCTTACTCAAGAGAGCGTCTGCTGTAATAACGTTTGCTTCTTTCACGTTTTTATGAGGGCTTTTAGAAACAATGCTGTCCTTAGCTTGAGTAAAGCCACTTCTAGAGCTAATCTTTTCAACATTTGCGTCACTTGGAAGATTCTTACTGCTGACGGATGACTCGGGATTGAATGTATATTCAAATTGTACCGGATTTGCTGAGGCTTCTGTTTGTTTCTCCGGCGAAGTGGGTTTTCTAGGAGATCCAACCGGCGTATTGCGTTTTGTGGAAGACATAGAGGTGGAAGGCAAAGTGACAACACTCTCACATTTCGCTCTCGCCGACATTTGAGGAGAATTTCGCGGATTGGAGAGTGGTTGCGGATTTTGTGGATTTATCAGTTTGCGAAATGCATTCCGCCATGTTTCTATACTCCGCGGTGACAAAGTAAACTTCTCTCCGGGTGTTCTTACCGATGAAGATTTACCTTGATTCTGGATGTTCGTGTTCTTGTAATGGATTTTGAATGGAGTACTCTTAACATTGTTTTCTATGGTTGGAGCGTCTGCAACAAAAAATTGAAATTAATAAGTTATGAACATAATAATTATGAAAAATAAAATCAAATAAAACCATTTAGAAGAAAACTATACCTTTTGTTGAACTTTCTTCTGTGAATAATGGTATTGTTGAACTTTCTTCTGTGAATGATGGTTTCAATATTTTGTTCGTGCTTTGCTCTTTAGACACGCTAGGATCTGCACTGTGATCTTTAGCGGTAATTTTTGCGTTCATCGTAGTGCTTCTTCGTAAGCGCACGTGTTTACACATTTTTAATCCACGAGATTTACAACGATTTGACACAAAGGTTATATATTTTTTCGTTACATTCTCGACCTCGGTCGCTGAATATCTACCATCTTTAGAAGAACATAATAAAGAATCCAGTTTTAGCATTAAAACTCTGAGCTTCCTGAACACCTTGTATTTCGCTTTCAGTATATTCAACCTTGACTTCGATGTGCAGTGTCTTTTAACATAACTACTGGGTTTGGTTAACGAAAGATCCTTAGAAATATCTTTTGTTTTCAAGATATTTCTGTCTTCTTGTGACAAAGTTGATACGGCTTGTGATTCTGTAGTTACCAAAGTTTGCGATAGCTCTTGTCCGTCTAATTGTTGTTCCTCTACTGCTGCTGGTTCGGATGCAATGACATCTGAAGGCCTCATTTTATTGTCTCGCCACTTAATAACATTTTCATCTTCCATTTCTTCCAATCTTGTTAAAATAACCCGCGCCGTGAAATTAATCTGTACATTCGTTTTCTGTTTATCAATCGTTTCAAGAGACAAATGAGATTCACTCAGATTATTATCCCCAATCGTTTTCGCATTACTCGCAGATCCATCTTCATAATCATTTTCATTCAAGGATGTCTTGCGACGTTTCTTTTTCGGTACAGGTAGCTCTTTTGGTAGTTCTTCAGTTTCACTGTCAGACGAAATATATTTTCTTTTATATTTCCATTCATTCAATGGCTTTTCTGTTATTTTTTTGACCATCAATTGCAATCTTGAACGAATTAGATTTTTCTTCGCTCTGCTGCTATTTGAAGATAAATAGTTAGACAGACAGGACTTGTTGCCAAGCAAACTCGGCTCTGTGTTCTTACTACACGATGGTAGCAAAAATGAAGGAACAGTATCCTTTACTATGGTCCCATTATCAGACGTTTTGCCGCTTTTCTGATGAAAATCGTATGGTAAAGTACGTGCGCATATATAACTACACGAGTCTTCTTCTTCTTCCGTTGGAGACAACGATAAAATACAACTTTCAGTCTCGCCGTGTGCACCTTGCTCACTCTTCTGATTATTTTCGTATGATTCTCCTACTTCACAAAATGGATTATTCAAGTGTGTATGCATTCCTTCAGCTTCTTCACTTTCTAACGATACCGGTACAACTTCGGTGGCAGGATTCATTTTTTGAAATTCATGCTGAGATCTCGAAGGTGAAAGGGCAAAACGAGAGGTTTTCCTTCTATCCGCATGTCCGTGTTTCCATCGGTATTTCTGCTTTTTAGGTACACGCGAATTCTTTTTTATTTCTTTTACCTTCGTATCTGGTAAATGTCTGAGTTTTATCGAAATATCTTTAATCGTGGCATTGTCTTTCTCTTGCGTTGAATTCGGCGAATCATTTGTTTGCTCCGTTATGTTCAAACTCGTGTTCGCTGATGAGGTACTGCAACTCGGTCTTGCATCAAACAGTTCCTCGTCGAAGATATCCATCTGTAATTAATATGGGTTGTAAGTTTCTTTTTAAGATGTACATTACTTTTCACATAAAATGTTCATAATCGTAAAAATGTTTTCTCTAGATTTCTTAAACATGGCAATTTTTTATTACATATGAAATTTTGTTCTTAACCGAACGTGTCTTTCGTTTTCAAACATTTTGAAAAAGGCAAAAGAAGACCTTTGTCTATGTACCTAAATGGAATAACTTTAGCATTCTCAAAAAAAAAATAATAAAGTCTCATCTAATAGCATTTACTTGAACTTTTTTGTATACAACAAACTGTTTGTATGGCAACAAACTGCTTTTAGGACAAACAATTTGACACACTACAGCCTCAATTATTCATATCCGGATTAACCAGGTGACGGATTATCTGTGCCCGATAAAAATTAGTCAACCGCAACTTACCTATAATTTTACGTACACGAGCGTGCAGTATAATTTTATGGATTACTGACTAACAGGCAGCCGATGTCGATAGCTGCTTCCCCACCTCTTACTGTACATACGTACAACTAAACAAAATAAAATAACATTCGAAACTAAGTCTATTCGCATAAGTTAACGGCTTTTTGGTTTCGTCAAGTTTACATAATTATTTACTTGTCATATTATTATTACACATTTTGCTACTCTTTTCTCCGCAAGAATACAAGAACAGTTTCACTGTATGTAAACCATTAATTGCGTGTACAGAAATAAAATATTTCAATTATCCAGCTAGAAGCTGGTCCTGTGAAACCTGAATAATCGAGGTCCTAATATTATATTATACATGGTTCTGCTTTTGATCTAAAGCAAGCTGAGTTCAATATTAAATTACTCATTAAAATGTTTAAAGGAAGTGAAATATGAAATTGGCAATGCAATTGAAGTATTTGCATGAAAATAATCAGCACCTTTGTAAGAGCAAATTATCTTGCTGTCCTTTCGATAAATCTTTCGTCGTAACTATGTAAGGTACGAAGTGCGTTAGCAAATTGTATCGTATTGAAAGTTACAAGTTTAAAACTTGGTTTCACTCAAGGCTGGTCTATAAAGGCCACTCTGGAATTGCGTAAACGTGGTTGTTGGCGGTTGTACAGTGTTGTAAAACACAGTTTTAAACTAGCATTTCCGATTGTAAAGCCTGTTGTACAAGATGGCTGAGCTTCATCTTTCACGACTAGAACGATGTAGAACGTAATGGCTAACCAATCAGAATTCTGTCACGTGTCCATACTGCTCTCATCAAACGCTAAACTGTACTCTGATTCGTTATCGGTCACTTCAATTACGACGTATCTCACTCTATTGTATATTACTTTGATGTACAACACTTACAACTACGTTTACACAATTATAGAATGGCCTTAAAGGCTGGTTTACAATACATGGAGTAAGCTGGAGTAAGAGTAAGGAAATAAATCCACTTTATTTCTTACTTCTACTTCAGCTCTTCGGCCATCAATCAGTGTTACAAATATTTTAAAAATTACGCCCGTATTTCAGCTTCCTTACACCAAATGCTAGAAGTTAGGGCTCTCCTTACTCCACGCTTACTCCACGTATTGTAGACCAGCGCTAAAGGCTAGTCTACAATACATGGAGTAAGCTGGAGTAAGGAGTAGGAGTAAGGAAATAAATCCATTTTATTTCTTACTCTTACTTCAGCTCTTAGGCTTACTCTCGGAGAATCAAAATGCCATCAATCAGTGTTACAAATATTTTAAAAATTATGCCTGTATTTCAGCTGCCTTACACCAAAAGCTAGACGTTAGGGCTCTCTCTTACTCCTTACTCCACGCTTACTCCACGTATTGTAGACCGGCGCTAACACGTGGAGTAGTCTGGCGTAAGAAGTAAGAATGGGAGTAAGAATCAGAAGATGTACCAGCACGTACATGTGTTTGATTCGCTAGCTTCTGGAATAATATTGCCGTAGTATCAACCCTCTAAAGCGTGGTCTACAATGGCAGTAGGAGTAGTGGATTAAAGAGGTAGGCGTTAGACATAGGCTGTAGGATTAAGGTCCCTTTACGCCCGAGTGTCTACAATGGCGTAGAGTAAGGATTATAATGAGCCAATCAGTGTTAACCAATGTTATTACACAAATGTTACCGTTGTTGGTGAATATGGATGTGCGAAGAATTGGATTTGTGTTATTTATATTATTATGGAGTCAGCTCTTGACTCTTCAATGGCGTATTATGCAAACGAAGAGATCTATCGGTCGGAGGTGGTGGGTTCGGCCTGTGAACAGGCGCAAACGAGATCAGGGTTTCAACTTTAACCTATTTCGTGAACTGATTATCAGTGGCTGAGAGTAAGGGAGTAGGTCGTACGAAATGGAATTGAACCATTTTGCTTACAGCCTTACTCTACGCCTACTACACCGGAAACACGAGCTTACTCCGACGTCTTACAGCCTTAATCCACTACTCCTACTGCCATTGTAGACCACGCTTAACATATAAGTATATAATTTTAAATCGATTTTATTTTTACTCCTACTCTTCAGCGCTTATGCCTACAGAACGTTCTGCGCCGCTTCCGTATAGCGACGGTTGGTATCGGTACGACAGGTATCTTAACCTCACAGCTGTCAGATTTTAACAATATCTCTCTCATTAGTGTCGAGTGACGACTTTAACTCTCAGATTCGTGTTTTACAGGCAAACATACACGATCTTGTACAATTTCGTTAAAAACGGTGAGTAAGAGACTGTCTTTCAGTATTACCAAATATATTTGTAACACTAGTCGTGCTTTACGTTGCTTTACTCCGCCGAGAGTAAGCGTCAGAGCTAAAGGTAAGAGTGAGAAGTGGAAATAATTCATTTTCTTTCTCCTACTCCTCTTATATGCCAGGATTACTTCGTGTAACCTACCTACCCTTGTTCCTTACTCCAAGCTTACTCCACTATGGTATTGTAGACCAGCCGTTAAAGAACGACGAGAAAACAAGGTCAGAGAGTCCCATTGTTACGTATTCACTTTCGATTCTTAACCTAAAACGCCATCAATTAATCAATATCTTGACACAAGAAATGGTTCAGAGACGTTAGGGGATTTTTCAAAGGTACGTGGCTATTCCTAAAGAAAGCTCTAGTGCAGGTTAATAAAATTTAATGAAAAATAATAAAAAGCAATAAATAAGACAAGAGAAAAGCGTGCGAGGAGCAAAGATACCCCGTAAAGGAACTGAAAGGCATAAAAAAAAACAAAATTCAAGTACACAGGCCCGACGCTTTAAATACCCGATAAAAAATAAAAATATCTCGATATACCGAAGAAATTGACTCGGCGGCTAATGGAAGCTTCGAGAGACGCCGCCGGATTAGTCACGGCATTATTCGTGCGCGCTTTAAACACATTGACATAAGATATCCCCTTGGTAAACCACCGAATCTTTCCGTTCTCAAGGACATGACGCGTGAACGCGAAAGATAAAAGAGATAGAGAGCGAGGCTAACAAAGACCGTTAAATTCACTCACTTGTCCTAACTGCGTAGGTACAGGTTAGTTCCAGCTGCTTCGCTTTCTTGGCTCTCGCGCGCGCTCCGTCTACGACACAGCAAGTATGCGAATAAGAGCTCCGAAATTCCGGCTCGGCACCGTGCGACAAAACGTGCGTTGTGGCGGCAGGTCGAGACTACTGTGTGTACAATTTCGCGCGCAGGTCAGGCCAGGTTAGGCTAAGTTAGGTTAGGTTAGGTTAGAACGAGCCGCGACGATACCGCGAGCCTAGGGCGCGTCGATCCCCTTGGATTTTGATCGCATCGAACTCGTCCGCTCGCCCTTGCCACGCGACTGCGAGACCCCGGCCTTACCTCGTCGCCACGAGCTCATGAATCCTCCGATGTCTCGCACGCTCGTTGATCTCGCGACGCCGACAACGCGACCGTGAGCGTCACGTAGACGTACGCACTTCGCGCAGTCGCCGTTCTCCTCGAAATGAGGAACGGCGGAAGCGAATCTTCCTGGCGAAACTATTCTTTGCCAGGGAGAAACATGAAAGCGGTCACACCGGCATTTTACTTAATACTGTTTCGCAACTGTCTCACACGCGCTTCGGTATCGGTATGAACCATGCAGAGAGAAACCTGAGAGCGGGCCACGCCGGCGTTTTACTTGATCTTTCTTTTTTACTTGATACAGTTTACGCTGGGCTGATTCCAGCGCCCTACGCCTATTTTACATTTTTGGAACTATTTCGCTACACCTATTTTCAGGCACTGTCGATAAAGTCTTTACCTGGTGCGTGTCCGTGCTACGCCCATTTTTCAAGCGGATATAATGGGAGCTTTCCAGCAAGCGACACAAGTCGACACAAACGTCGTTCTGTCTTTCTTCGCATTCAATGAATAATAAAGACAGAGAACGACATTTGTGTCGACTTGTGTCGCTTGCTGGAAAGCTCCCAATATTACCCGCTTGAAAAATGGGCGTAGCACGGACACGCACCAGATGGAGACTTTATCGGCAGTACTTGAAAATCGTGTAGCGGAATAGTTCCAAAAATGAAAATGGGCATAAAGCGCTGGAATCAGTTTCGCCGTTGTACGTTTACGCCATTCGGCGCGCAGCCGCGGTCTGCGCTTCTGCTCCGATAAATCTTACGGGGTGTTGCTGACAGGTCTCTTAACGTCTCTCCATGGAGATGGAGTGACTGCAAATATATTGGCAAAGGGAGAGTCTCCGCGTGTCGCGCGCGAACGGCGTGCGTACTGGAGAGGAATATCCCAAGCGAGGAGTCCGGCGAAATAGCGAGCAACAAAATGGACGAAGCGAAATTTCTGAAGAGGTGAGGGGAGGCTGTCGCCACTGCATCTGTCAAACGATCTGTCAGTCGGCTGCCAAATAGGATCCCTTCGTACAGAATATGCCGCGACGTTTCTTAAAACGTCCAGTGCGCGCGCAAAGTCTCGCGTAAATGTATCGTAAATACGCCGTGGGATTAATTTATGTATAACTGTCACATGTCGGCTTTTAGGAAAGTGAGGTCCGGGACGTTGGACGTCCACCCAACGGAGAAGGCCCTGGTGGTGAATTACGACGTCGAGGCGTTGATATTGGGGGAACTGGGTGATCCTATGCTTGGCGATCGCAAGGTACGCTCTCCTTATTTCACTCGGGCGAGGAGATAATTGGCTCGCGCCGTGCGCGACCTAAGCTAATGGTAACGTCTTCCCTTGCGCACAGGAATGCCAGAAGATAATCAGGTTGAAGAGCTTAAACGCAGACACGAATGTTTCTCTCTTGGCTAAGGAAGTGATGGAGAAGTGCTCGCTGATACACGAGTCCAAACTACGCGAGGTCGAGCAGTTGATTTATTATCTGCAAAACCGTCGAACGAATGACACCGGTACAGGTAACGTAATGCGGCGTCTTTATATTCGCAGATCCACGGGAGTTTATGTAAACTGTTACTTCCATAGGTAGCGGTAGTAATTCTCAGCCTCCGAGACCAGCGTCGTCGAATTCGTTGATCACGGAGAACAGCGAGGTTGAACGTGCAGTCATTAGTAACGTCGACAGTTATATCGAATTGCTGTACGAGGAGATACCGGGCAAGATTAAGGGCTCGTCGTTAATTTTACAATTAGCAAGGATACCTGATAATCTTTTGGAATTGACGAAAAATGGTAACACTTGCGTCACGTATCTTCTTCTGTAAAGATTCATCTCTGGATGATAATTTTTATTTGTTTCATAATGGCGACGAAAATATTGTATTGTTGAAAATACCTCGTTGGCTATGACGTTACAGTGAAATTGTTCTCTGTCGTTCTCTTGCAGAATCATTATTGAGTGCACTAGCCCGAGTTCTAAGAGAAGACTGGCGGCGCAGCATAGAACTGTCCACGAACATCATTTACATTTTCTTCTGCTTCTCAACGTACAGCCAGTTTCACAATATCGTGCTCGAATACAGAGTAAGTTGCGGGCGCCGATGAGACTTGATGGATCGCGCACTTCCGGGACTACACTCGTATTTCTTTCTGCGTGTACAGATCGGCTCTCTTTGCATGGATATAATCGATTTTGAATTACGTCGCTACGACCAGTGGAAGGAGGACATGGAGAAACGCCGGAAACAATTTGAGAACACGACCGGTCTGACGTTCTTCCCGGCGGGGAGCAACGACAACTGTGATAGGAAGATCAGGATCATCGACGACATTTGGAATATGGAGGGCCCGTTGGATTACGAGGTCAAGAGACGTTCCGCGGAAGTATCTGTAGCCGTATCCGAGAGCGATGTTAAGAAGCTGAAGGAGGAACTTGAGAAGAGTCGCAAGAAGTTCAAGAGTTTGACGAAGAAACAGGAGCAACTGCTCCGAGTTGCGTTTTATCTACTCCTAAATATTGCCGAGAATGCTATGGAAGTCGAAAGAAAAATGCGTAAGAAGAACGTCATCGGTATGCTGATTAAAACGTTGGACCGGACGAATACCGATTTGTTGATTTTGGTTGTCACATTTTTGAAGAAACTATCCATCTTTCGCGAAAACAAAGACCTCATGGTAATAATTGAATATTTTATCTAAATACAAGCGTGTGCGCTGTGTAACAATATAATTTTTCGCACGCTGACGTTTACAGGTAGAAGAAAATATTATAGACAAGTTACCGAGGCTTTTACAAAACAATAATACCGATCTTGTGCTAAGTACTTTGAAATTGTTGTTTAATCTCTCTTTCGATACTAAATTGAGAGCGAGAATGATCAGGGTTGGTATGTTACCAAAGTGGATAAAATTACTTAGCCAAGGTAAGATTTGTGTTTAAAAAATTTATGTATACAGGGTGTCGGATTCGATTTGGACGACTCCAAAGATTATAGTAGATTGGGTCAAGCTGAGAAGAAAAGTTATATACCATTTTACAAAATCCGTAATTATTATCGCGTAATTAAGAAAAACGTCTGAGCCAATAAGTGCACGGAGGAGCTGAAGGCCGGACTTGGCAGACATGCAAAATGGTGTATTATTCTCCTACCACCAGAAAGACTTTTTCGGCGCGGTGTCATATGTCGCGCGTTCGCTCGCTGCGCGCCGTTCGCCCGCTCGCCGCCGTCTCTCATCGATCGATGCGTGACTCCACCTCTCGCTATCGGATCTTGAGAGATGTCAACAAATACACCATTTTGCATGTCTGCCGAGTCCGGCCTTCCGCTCCTCCGTGCACTTATTGGCTCAGACGTTTTTCTTAATTACGCGATAATAATTACGGATTTTGTAAAATGGTATATAACTTTTCTTCTCAGTTTGACCCAATCTACTGTAATCTTTGGAGTCGTCCAAATCGAATCCGACACCCTGTATAAAGAAATGTATGAAATTTCTTTTTTAATACGAGAATGTGTGAAACGAGAAATTCTACATGATGTCTATTAATGTATCTCGAATATGTCATTAATATGTTCACAGCTGACATAAAAAATAAAAGCACGATTGTGGGGCTACTCTATCATGCCAGCATGGACGACAAAGTGAAAGCAATGTTCACAAACACAGATTGCATTCCTATGGTATATAAAAATCGATAAAACTTCGATGGAACTTAATAAGTTTGAAATTTACTTCCAACATTTGTACGTTCTATCTAGATAACAAGCATGATGTTAAATTCCGAGGACGAACACGTGAGAACTGAATTAACGGCGCTCGGTATAAATTTAGCCGTCAACAACAAGAATGCGCAACTGATGGTGGAAAACAATCGTCTGCAAGGTCTCATAAAAATCGCATTTAGAAATCAAGACGCCCTCGTGATGAAGATGATTAGAAATATCTCGCAACACGAGTCGACGAAAGAAAACTTCGTCGTAAGTTCAAGTGGTAAATGTTGGGATTAACACAATAAATATCAATCGTAATTTGTCCATATATTTAGGAATTTGTCGGCGACTTTGCTATGGCCTTGACTCAGTCTGACTCTCAAGACTTTGTACTGGAAGTAATTGGCGTGTTAGGCAATTTAGAATTGCCTGACTTGGATTACTCTCAAATCATTCAACGCTGCAATCTTATACCATGGATACGCAACAATCTTGTCCCAGGTGTGGTCCTTTTCACTTTATCTCTCATTGCTCTTTTTGTCTTTAACGTTAATGAATTAAAATCGAATTGAAGAATTGAGATAATATTATATCTTACTCTAGTTAGTTTGTCTTCTATATCCGCAGGTAAGGCGCAAGATGACATAGTTCTTGAGATCGTCATATTTCTGGGCACTGCAGCTTACGATGAAGATTGTGCTCGTTTGTTATGTAAGGCTGATATACTTCTCTCTCTTATCGAACTGCTTAAAGGTGTGTATATTTATTAAAAAGCAAACGTATATAAAGAATCACGTCTATTTTCACATAAATGGAAGCCAAACGCTATTTTCAATATGCGATATCATTACAGCCAAGCAAGAGGATGACGAAATGGTTTTGCAAATTATTTACGTTTTCTATCAAATTGCAAAACACGATTCAACCCGAGATTATTTGATCCGCGAGACCGGTAATGGTAATATATAGTCAATTTTCTCAGTCGTTGGATTCATTAAAGACCCACAAAACAACACGGCAAATATATTCTGCAAATATCTTTAGACTTTTTACACGAATAAATGGTGAAAAATTGTGATATTATTTGCAGAAGCCCCCGGGTATCTGATCGATCTGATGCACGACAAAAATCCTGCAATTAGGAAAGTCTGTGATACATGCTTAGATGTTATTGCTGTAAGTAACTAAGTACACGAATGCGAGTTTGTATTCATAAATTTGCAAATAACATGCTAAATGATTTGTGTTATGAGTGAGAAGTGCCAATTGTTCAAATTGTCCTAGATATGCGACAAGAATTGGGCGGCCCGCATAAAGGTGGAAAAGTTCCGATCGCACAATCAGCAATGGCTGGAAATGGTCGAGTCTATCGGAACAGATTCAATCAATCATATGTTACCGGACGATGATGATAGTCTATCTCCATTCATTAGCGGTGACCTACTAAAACACACTATATTATTCCCCTCTGGTAATATATTTATATATTTTTTTTTACTAAATCATCTGTCGCATTCTTATAAATTATAAGAATAATATTATATATTATAAGTTATAATAGATTATCATGCTCACACAGGTAACGCGGCGTCATTTAACGCGGACGATGGATTCTCGACTATGAAAAATTCATCGGAATCATCTGAAAATCCTAGTCGACCTGTCAGTAGGTACGAATCTAATGACGCATATATACATTTGACGCGATAGTGCAACATTAATCCCGAATAAATGAATTGCGATTACACGAGAAACTAATTTACATTATAGGTATCGGGATCTCGACGAGATAGGCGAACTCGTGGCGCGTTCCAAGTCTCGCATGTCCGTTGCCTCAGGCATAGAGGATTACTATAATTCCAGAGTGAAATTCAGCGATTCGGATAGTTCCCACGTATTAATCTGAAGATTAATCCAAACGTTCTGACATAGATGCGTGACTTAACTTTTCAAAAGATGCCTAGGACATTTTACACTATCTCGATATCATATACATATATGTTCAATGTAAGAAAAACAAAGAAACGTTTGCTACTATTTACAAATACATGCCTGCTTAAACTAAAGATTTCATTATATATAGACTGCTTTGATCTCATAGTCTTAGTGTCTTTTTTTTAATGAATTATCTTTTTACGTATTTAATTTATTTATAAGCGCGTCAGCTTTACACTGATGCGCATAATTGTCTTATGTTGCAAATAGTATTGAATCCATTTGGATGTCTTTTATCTTGTGATAGGCTTCAGGCAGTCAAAATAGTGTTGTAATGTATATGTGGTTAAATGTAAAATTAATATTTATAATAGTTCGAAGGTCTCTTGTGGTATTTATATTGTTAATATCAGTTAATAAGAAAGACAAATGGTGTATGAAAATAACGAACAATTTAGAACAATGTAGTCCCTAACAGTAGGGATAGAATTATATATACTGAGAGAGTAAAACTCTTATTCATTGCAGACAGTATATTGTGCAATAAGTATAGGTGTATTTAACTTCTACATCCTGTTTTAGAGAATATAATCAAACATTCTGTTTACATTCTGAGTTGCCTTTCATTTTTCATTGCACCTCTTGTCCTTTTCTTATTAACTTGTCACATTTATATTAATGTAAGATGGTATTTTACTATATCCACAAAATGCACGACTTATAGCCATCAATTATCCTCTACGTAATAAAATAAACTATGATTGAATCTTGTAGATTGCAAGAGTGTATACTGATTTGCTGAAGACAAATTTCCTTGCAATCTGACTCCTTATTCGATCGGAAATTCTGCCCGATTTTGATCCTCGATCGTTAAAGTCTCAATTCTTTAATAAAAAAACGACACTTACAATTAGATGAATTCGATGTAACGTGTGTATTTATTAACAATTTGTCTAGTCACCTTATTGTTAGATTATTATATTATATCTTATAACTATATGATATCTTATCTTTTATTAGAACTTAAGTTTCCTCGTACAACAGCTTCACCGTTATTTCGAAATACAATAGTGTAACTGTTGTCTCCGTCAGTGTAAAATGTGTGCTCTTTCAAATCGAAACTAATAGGACTGTCCGCAAATCCTTGTACGTCCAAGCTAACCCACAGTAAACTTTTTCGCGATAATACATATTTTTTTAACACATTATACACTTCTTGTATCTTCTTCCGCGAAAAGAATCCAGTCCATTGTAAATATTGCACCTGTCCGATATGTACGGAAGGCAAGGAACACTGGTATGTGTTTGCATAGTCCTCGTCTCCTTCAGATCTAAAAATGTTGAAAGTGTCATTGCCATATTCCTTAAGCCTTAACAATCATTGTAAAGAGATTTACATTAGAAGAGTTCGTAGTTATGCACGAACGAGCGGAAATGGCTGAACAAGCTCGAAAGAAAATCAGACTCGCCTTGGCGTTATTGTTAGTTGAATTCAGCCAGGTTTTACAAGATTTCAGCACTTGTCCAGACATCGATGACGAACAGTGTAATAAATTGAAGGCGATGTACGACAAAATGTTGGATATCCAAAATGACGAGAGGAAAGCGTCCGAACAGCTCATAAATCATGAAATATCCAACTCGAAAAATTGTGACGCCCACATGGCGGAGAATGTAGAGGAATGTGTACGCGCAGAGGCATCCTCGAACGGTGTCGAGGACAGTTTGGATTACTTTGACAAAAAGGAAGAGGAGCACACGTTGCGGCAAGCAGAGCGAAATAACGAGGTTCAAAATATTAACAAGGAACTGGCGCTGAAAGAGAGCCTCGTGTCGGAGCTCTTAAAGAGCATCACGCAACAAACTGCGGAAAGTAATAGGAATGTCGTAGAGATGGAACAAGAGATTAAACGACTACATACGGAAAAGGAGGAACATTTACAAGTGGTTCACACGCACAACATCAGCTCCAAATTGGCTGAGACGCGTCGCAAAAAGGTGCAAGAACTTGAGAAACGGATAGCGGAGTTGACGCGCAAGTGCGTAGAACAGAACAAAATAATCAAGGGGAAGGAGAAGCAGGATCAGAAGATTAAAACTCTTTCCCGTGAGATACAATTGCTAAAGGAGACCCAAGTCAAGCGTATTAGTCAGATGCGCAATTGTAAAAGTTATTTTGAGACGCGAACAAACGTACATATCGCCTTCGATGCTGAAGACGCCAAGCCATTCGAAGAAGTTCTTGTCACACTCATTGCCTTTGTCTTTGTAAGTAGGAACCTCTACCGAATATTTCGTCCTATGGAAAAGTTTCTGACAGCAGACACGGACGACGTACTTGCGCTCGTGAAACCACGCTGCTACAGACGACGGACACACGCTGACGCCTGAAATAGTCCAAATAATTGTGTGAAAAAAGGAAATGTATGTATGTAGAGGAAAGTTATCTATTATAAGATAGAATCCTAATGTGAGGTAGCGGGGTTTCTGTTAAATCATTAGACATCATCAGTTAATTCTATGAATTTATTACTTTGTTTAATGGAAAATTCATTGTTAGATTGTGTAATTGTTGCGAGAAAAAGATTTGTCATTGACTTTGGGTGTTGAAAACCTGCTATCTCTTATTAGAAACTTATCTTATAATAGAGGACTGTTCTTTATATATAAATGCTGCATTATGTTTATTATAAAAAAGAAGACAGAAATATGTATACCTGGAGAATCCCACGATACTATAACATCAAACGTCTGTTTGAGTCGTTCTTCCAATGCTGTTCGAACACTTTCGTATTTCTTTTTACCAGGAATGAAATTTTCGTCTTTTAAATCGATCCTCACTACTATTGATGTACATTAGAAAAAAAAGAACCGTTTAAATTTAATAGACAGATTAAAATAGACTATAAATTTTATACACGCAGTTCGTGTAACCGTAGAATGTAATCGATTGCCCGATCACATTGTTGTGGGAACTTACTGTAGCGTGTGTGAGGTTTGCGGCCGAAGACAGAGGGTGTCCCGTCTAAACCAAGTGCATTGTAATCATCTGCCAGCAAAGAGAGTATCAAGCATCCAGTCGGAGTTAGACAAATGGAATTCTGCAAGTCTATTTTAGTCTCTATCGCCATGAGATTGATCTCTCCTGAAATTTGAAAGGCAGATGTTAGTAGAAAGACGAGGGGGGGACCGCCGGTGTACGGATTGTGGTGTATGGATTTGCAGCATTACTAGGCATCTTTTGGGCATTAGGCCTTGCTGGGGCATTACAAAGATAAAATAAGATAATGTAAGGATCCTTGGAAGGAAATCAGGTGGGGCGGTTCAGAACTGAGAGAACTAGTTAAATTCGTAGCACTAGTAAACTATGTATATATTTAAACAATAATAAATTAAACAGTACAAAGAATTTACAGATCAACTTAACACCGACACTCAGACGACGGATTCTAAAGACTCGCGCGCGAGACTAATTTTCGAACAAAGACTCTCGAGATTCTCCTTGCTTCTGGTTGCTTCTGCTCGGGATCTCTTCTCGGAGGAGAGCGAGTCCCTTTTCGCGCGCGTGGAGTCCGTACGCTCGCTCCGCTTCGCCGCGCATGCGTTCTCGAATCGCCCGCTAATGTAAGAGGGGCCGCTCGGGCCGCGCTGGTGGCGTGCCGCGCGCTCAGCTGTGCGCCGCGGCGCGCAGGCGCGTTACCGTCCGATATCTTACAATAAGATAAAGTATAGTGAGTGTGGCAATCATGGCGCAGAGGATAGCGCGCTGGCTTGGTAATCCGAAGATACGGGTTTCGAAACCAAATAAGTATTGTTGGTTTTTCGATCGCCACACATCTAAGTGCGCCTTGTAACCCCAAGGGGAAACAAATAAAATGAATAAAATAAATGAAAAGAACCATATACAGAACGAAGAAATACATAAACACGCGGCAAAAAATTAGAGATGATTCTATCGATCAGAGCGACGACATTTGGTACATACTACAGATAACTGGCTTTGTTCGTCATCTTTCGTCTCACTTGCCGCGTATTTATGTATTTCTTCGTTTTGTAGATGGTTCTTTTTATTTATTGCTTCATAACGTGTACATACAATCATAAGATTGTACACGTTATGAAGCAATAAATGAAAAGAACCATATAATCATAAGATTGTATGTACACGTTATGAAGCAATAAATGAAAAGAACCATAACAGAACGAAGAAATACATAACACGCGGCAAGTGAGACGAAA